AAAGAAGGATGTACTTTTCTCTGAAGGGAGGAGAGAACTTCCACTTTGCTTATGGCCTTGTCTAAATACTGATGGAGTTTGTGGTCACAAAGGGCTTCCATAGCCTTGGCAGTTCATGGCAAGAGCCTTGGGTGATCATGACATCATAAATGAGAGTGTCAATTGTTAAATCAACAACAGGAGTCACTGTGCACTTACTCCCCATGTAGGACCTCTGTTCTTAATGAGTTGTACTATAAGAATTAACTGCAGAACTTGTTCTCAAACAATACTTTATATATTGTATGTGTGTGGGTGAAAACTGTTGAAATCTTTACTTAGTATAGAGTTGATCTTCTGTATATGAAGTTAATTAAAAGTGAAACTTAATGAAAAATAAGATGGAAGAGGGAGTAGGAGGTGGGATGAGCGTGGGAGTGGGAAGGTGGGTATGGGGGGGAAGAATCACTATTTCCCTAAAGCTGCACCTATGAAATTTGCATTCATAAAATAAAAGCTTTAAAAAATAGATATAATCACATTGAAAAAAGAAAATTGTGTTAACAAACACAATATAGGAAAAAGTTGTTGTATGCAATTTTTGCACTTAATGCAGGACTAATGTTCTGAATGCTATTTTGTAGCACAATGTCATTTATATAATTTAAAAATCATGCACACCAAAAATAATCCATGGTTTATAAAAATGTATACAAATAAAGAACTGTACATCAAACCTGTTGGAATGGTTGTTTATTAAGCGGAAGATGAGAAGAAAAGGAAATATGTGTCAATAACAATCAATCAAGTAGCCCCGTTCAGACCAGTGAGGTTGGCATAAAAGGCACATGAGGAACTCAGCTTCTGCCTGTGAGATACGTACCCCTACGCACACACACACCACAAAGAGGGAAATGAGATGTAGTCAGTCTTTGCAGTGTTCCTGATCTGTTTCAACAACCTATTGTTTTCATTTACCTTGACTTTTCTTAGTATCTTTAACTTTCCCCTCATTTTGAGGTACATCAAACTGCTAAGAAACCATGAGGTAGGCATATTTTCCCCAGGGTTAAATGTGTACTTTGTTTTGTACCCTTATCATCTGAACAAACCAAAGGTATCTACTATAAATGCCTTGGCTGGTTTACATAGGTTAGAGTCAGAGTGAAAGAATTTAGAGTGTGGTAAGATTTTGAAACATGCTGTCTGTACTTACATCCCTTCATTTCCCATCCATTTCCCACCCACCCACAAATCTGAAACACAATCTTTAAAGTATAACTACTAAACATAAACAGACAGGGGAAAGCTCCAGCACATCAGAGGTATACTTAAAATACGGATATCTGGCCAACACATGCTTACTCCTGTGTGTTATTTAAGAGGACCCCTGATAGTTGCATGACTTGAAGTCAGAGTTCTGTTTCTGCTCCAATATTTCCTTTTTGGAAGCTTCCTTCTGCAGCGTTTTCAAAGGGTGAGACTTGGCACTTCACCCCGCTATTTGGCAGTGACTTGTGTTTTTGAATGTTCAGGGAAGGTAAGAGGGAGGGCTGAACAATAGTTATCCGTGGTTGGAGGTGCAAAGGAAACACTGTCTCTTCTTTTCTCATAAAGTGGATTTTTAGGGAATCCTTTCAAATTCCACTTTATTTGTGGAGATGTGATGTGATTGGGTCTGGAAGCATTTCTGCTTTATGTCTTAGGCTACATCCCTTGAAATGTTCATCATTAGATATTAATAAATAAACAGAAAAGTGAAGTTCATCTATTTTTTCTGCCTCTTTAAGTTTCAAAATAAACTACAAAATTAATGTGCACTTATTATAGCAAGTCAAATAATACAGTGGTATCCAAAGAAAAAGTCTGTTCTTATTCATTAATTCTGGTTTACCCAATAGGTAGACTTGTATTCAGGACAATTACCAAAACAGGAGACTCCAAAATGTTTTTGAAACAACTTTATAACTGATAAACAAGTGATCATGGGAAAAATCATAAATCTTTGAACTTCCTTCTATTTATTTCATGTTTTAGTGTTTTTACTAAATTTTATATTATAGATGGGATGATAAATATGTACCAATAATGCATTTATGTTAAAATTATATTTTGTTCAAAGTACATACATACTTATTACATAATTCTTATCACAGAAAATATTTTTATCTTAAAAGTTCACTCAGGTGGGTATTTGACATAATTGTTAAGATTCCATTTTGGGATGCCCACACCCCATTCCAGAGTTCCTGAGTTCAGTCTTGCCTTTTCCCCTGACTCCAGCTTCCTGCTAATGCACGCCTTGGGACTCGACAGGTACTGGCTCAAGCAGCTGGGCCTCTGCCATCCACGTGGAAGACCCAGATGGAGTTCCTGCTCCTGACTCTGGCCTGGCCCAGCTCCAACTGCTGTGGAGGGAGGAATGAACCAGAGTATGGGAGACCTCTTTCTTTTTGTGTGTCTGTCTTTCTCTGTCTGCCTTTCAGTTAAATAAAAACCACAAAAATAATTTTAAAGATTTTAAAACTTTCACTTACGTTATCGATGTTTCCGTATTCATACAGAGATACTGTATTTGTTGTGTAATCACTGTTGTACTAATAAACCACCCTGCTTGTCCATTCTTTCATTGTTAAATATTTTCCAAATTTCCCAAAGCCATTAAATTTGTGGTTGTGCTTACGTTTCTCTACATAGGTAGAGTAGAGAATCTCTGGAGTGATGTCACGCTGCCAACACTCACATAAGTCATACTGTTTATGACCAAATTGCTCCCCTAAAGGATTTTGTAGACTCACAAAAGGTAGACTGTTTGCTTTCTGATTTTAGTGGTTTGGAGCCCGACCAGGTGAGAGCCGATAGGGTCGGGGGCAAGAAAGAGAACAGGAGGGTGGCGGCTGCCATTATTGTGGCAAGATGTGCATCTCAACTACAGTAGTGGCCATAGACGCAGAACAGCAAAGGAGTGAGGTAAATTTGACAGGCCTGAGGAGTAACTGGAAACAAGGAGGAAGGGATGTGTCGCTGTCCTTTTGGAACCTGAGAACTAGAGGACTGTTTATAGTTTTTTGTTGTTGTTGTTTTGTTTTGTTTTGTTTTTGACAGGCAGAGTGGACAGTGAGAGAGAGAGACAGAGAGAAAGGTCTTCCTTTGCCATTGGTTCACTCTCCAATGGCCGCCGCGGCCGGCGCACCACGCTGATGCAATGGCAGGAGCCAGGTGCTTTTCCTGGTCTCCCATGGGGTGCAGGGCCCAAGCACTTGGGCCATCCTCCACTGCACTCCCTGGCCACAGCAGAGAGCTGGTCTGGTGGTGGATTCCCGGACAGAATCCAGCGCCCCGACCGGGACTAGAACCTGGTATGCCGGCGCCACGGCTCACTAGGCTAATCCTCCACCTTGCGGCGCCGGATTAGCCTAGTGAGCCGCAGCGCCAGCCCTAGAGGACTGTTTAGAACAATGCCCAACACAGTGTTCCCCACAGGGAAGGCACTTGATAAATGCTACTTGAGGCACCGGCGTGGTGGCGCACTAGGTTCATCCTCCGCCTGCGGCGCCAGCATCCCATATGGGCGCTGGTTCTAGTCCCGGCTGCTCATCTTCCAATCCAGCTCTCGGCTGTGGCCTGGGAAGGCAGTGGAGGAGGGTCCAAGTTCTTGGGCCTCTGCACCCACGTGAGAGCCTGGGAAGGAGCACCTGGCTCCTGGCTCCTGGCTTCAGATCAGCGCAGCTCCAACCATTGTGGCCATTGGGGAGTGAACGTGAACCAGCAGACAGAAGACCTTTCTCTCTGTTTTTCCCTCTCACTGTAACTCTACCTCTCAAATAAATAAATAAAAATCTTAAAAAAAATGTTACTTGAGCGAATGCCTCATGCATACATACCAAATGAGTGCTTCAAACAGGGAATCAACATTTGTGTTTCCTAAAGATTCACGAGTATTTGGTTGTGTGCCTAGAAGTTGACCTACGGTTCTTGTAACTAGGGGATGCTTTAAAATCAGGACTCATTAGCATGAGGAGGCGAGAGAATTAGTAAAGAAACTTAGAAAGGAAGGAAGCCAAAGCCAGGGATCGGGACTTCAGAACAACCAGCTTCTTGCCTCACAAAAATAGGCGCTGACCACACAGCTAACCTTTGCTGTTTCTTACAAACACACGCTGCTGTTTCTTACAAAGATGGGAATTCCAGAACTCAGCCTGCTTGGAAGCCCAATATCCCTGGTTTGGAAGGAAGAAATGGCTCTGTGGTTCACCAGTAAAAGACCATGCAGGTTACCCTCTAAAGCACGCCGCTGTGAGAGGCCCTCCTCTCAGAGCGATGGTGTCCAGGTCTCTGCGTTTGGATCTAAAGACGACTGGGAGATTCCCCAAGCAGCCTTCTGTCTCCAGCTGCACTTGGGCACCATGCATTTTAGTGATTGCCACTTGTGCTTATGTTCTTGTACCAAATGTGGAGTTGTTGCATTTTCCTGTTTGTCTCATATCCTCTGGCAAAAGCCATGATGTCTATTTCCTTTGTAACTGCCTAAGAATCAGGTATAACGTTTAGCATATAATGACTCAGCAACTACTTTTCATATAAGGACTCAGCAACTACTTATTAATGCCCTTTTTTTTTTTTTTTTTTTTTTGACAGGCAGAGTGGACAGTGAGAGAGAGAGAGACAGAGAGAAAGGTCTTCCTTTGCCATTGGTTCACCCCCCAAAAGCCGCTGCAGCCGGCACACTGCACTGATCTGAAGCCAGGAGCCAGGGGCCTCTCCTGGTCTCCCATGCGGGTGCAGGGCCCAAGGACTTGGGCCATCCTCCACTACACTCCCGGGCCACAGCAGAGAGCTGGCCTGGAAGAGGGGCAACCGGGACAGAACCCGGCGCCCCGACTGGGACTAGAACCTGGTGTGCCGGCGCCTCAGGTGGAGGATTAGCCTATTGACCCACAGCGCCGGCCAATGCCCAATGGTTTTAACTAAACGGATGGGATGTCATGGTTTTTAGTGGTCAGTAAAAGGTACTACGCAGCTACTCCTAGGAAATATCATGTTTATTGAAATTCATGTAGATAAATTATCACCAGCATAAAACTGTTAGTGGAGTTTTCAACATCAGTTCTTTTTACTCTTAAAGCCAAGTGATGCTTTGAAAAGTCCATTGTCCCATAGGAAAAATAGTACATTTTTCTGTTCAGATAAAGTCCTTTAAAAAGCAAATCACTTTTGAAACGGTCTTTTAAACGTCTCCAGCCTATAAATATATAACAGAAACAAAAATATATTAAAATACATAATTCTGTATATTTAAAAGGAAGAATTAAACATTAATTAAGGGTAATAAACATGGCAAAGTACTTAGGCATCTGAAATTCTAAAACTTTCTCCTATTTTATTAGTATATACTAGAATACCAAATAAATAATAAAAATAACAAAAAATTTTCACAATAAAGTGACAAGTAATAATAAAAATGTGAAAAAGTAATAGGTTATTATTATATGTTTAGGAAATAAGTCAAAGTGTTATTTCCTCAGATACACATTTTTAAACTTCTCTGATTTCAGTTATTTGTGAATACAGTCCAAAACAAGTTTTAATTTCACTTAAGGATAAACATCCTTTTTAGATTAATTTATTAAAATTAATAAATATGATAAGAAAATAGGATGACATCTTCAGGAAAGTTTTGAAATTTGTGGGTCAGTAGAAAGCAATAGTCAATTCTCTAGAGAGTTCTGGGGTTTTATTAGTATTCTGTGTCAACCTGGTGATCAGGCCTGACCTGTTTGGCTCCTCCCACGTGGAACTGCTGTCCTTCTCCAATGGAGAGTCTGTTGAGAGGGATTATCTTCATGGTGGTTTTCTTCATGGAATACCAGCGGGATTTCCAACTGGCCCAGATGATGCCATTGTCATAACCATTAGGAGTAGATGCTTTCGAGTAAGTGCCACCTGCAACAAGGTGCAGACGTGCCTATCATTGCTCTTACATTGCTTTACCTGAGAAAGCCTATAAAGAACCTTCTATTACAAGGTGCCTTCCCAGACACATCACATTTTTGTAATATTATTCACTAACTGAAAATATCCATAAGAGTCATAAAATTTTGATTGATAATTAAAATACATTTGTTATTCAATCTCTCCTTATATCTATGGTGTGTTTCAGGGTCACAGTCCTACGGTATCAAGAAAACTAGAACCTCAGATTCAGATTTCACCATTGTTCTCTCTTCCTGTTTCACCATCTTGGCCTCAGCTATCTTTTCTGTAGGCAGGTTAGAGGGCAAGAGCCACTGATTCCTGCCTAAGTGGTCTCAGGTTATCTGATTGCATGATTTTACTGCTTAATTGAAGAAAGTATGAGGGGCATTAGAGCGTGGTTTTGGAATGCTAGTTCACATCTTCATTATAAAGTGGAGACCAGATTGATTTGTTTTCTTCTTGTCCCTGGGCACCGCATCTCATAGAATTTTCTAAGGGAGTTGTGTGAGTCTAACTCTACTAGGTACTGCAGACTAACAACATGGCACTTTCCTTGAGAGAGCCTTCTAGTTGCGTGGTTTGTTGGAACACAGAAAAGTTAGATGTCTCCAAATAAACAATGTACTGAAAGAATGAAAGTTCACTTTAATATTTGAGAGGATTCCACGCTGTCTCCTGGCTAGGCTGCAGGTGGTGGATAAGTAAAACCAGTGTTTCAAACCACTCCTGCTTTACAATGAACTGCAGCCTAACCCCATCCTAAAATAAGTGTCTACAGTCCTCAGGCTCAATTCCTTTCCCAAGTTTTCCTAATCCCTGGTTCTGATCAGTTCTTCCTTGATGTTTATGTCATTTCTGCAGGTACTTGCTCACTGCTCACTGGTTGTATCTCACACACACATTAATGCATTCGAAAAGTTCATGGAAGATGTGTATCATGAAAAAATCATGCATGGATTTCAGATTTTTTTCTTTTATGCCAAAATTCATTAATCTTTTTGTTCCTTTTTTTTTTTTTTTGGACAGGCGGAGTTATACAGTGAGAGAGAGAGAGAGAGAGAGAAAGGTCTTCCTTCCGCTGGTTCACCCCCCAAAATGGCCGCTACGGCGGGCGCTATGCCGATCCGAAGCCAGGAGCCAGGTGCTTCCTCCTGGTCTCCCATGCAGGTGCAGGGCCCAAGGACTTGGGCCATCCTCCACTGCCTTCCCGGGCCACAGCAGAGAGCTGGACTGGAAGAGGAGCAACTGGGACAGAATCTGGCGCCCCAACCGGGACTAGAACCCGGGGTGCCGGCACTGCAGGTGGAGGATTAGCCAAGTGAGCCGCAGCACTGGCCTATTTCATTCCATTTTCTTCTTCCATTTTTGAAGCTCCACCTTAGCTCAGTCTAGTGTATTTACAAGCATAAATATGGTAATATTACTGGGTCCAGATCACTTATATGCAACATCTAAAGGAGATGTCATAAGCCACTGTGCCAATACTAGTGGTGGAGTTTCAGACACAATGACAAACTGCTAATTGTTTTTTAGCACATGGATTTCTTATAGAATGATGTTTCGGGCATAAGCTTGGTCTTATCCAATTCTGGTTTCAAATGGAGAATTATATGACAAAAGTTCCAGTATCATTACTATGATTTCTCATTTCTTTCTATCTGTTTACTACCTTTTATAAAAATAAATAAATATGTTTTAATACGGAATCTAAGAAACAAAGCCATACCTTGGTAATACATTCCATTGAGGTGGCCAGCATGACACTTGTTCATCCACCAACCGGATCCATCCTGTTCAGCACAGTTGCCTTCAAACTTGTCATTGTCATTGTCCCACGTACTGAATTGCATGCCATTATGGGATGTGAAAAACTTGTCACTAGGATCGTCACCGAAATCAAAGCCATCAAAGGCATCGCCAGCATCTCCACCAAGGAAGTAGGCGTATGTCAGGCGGTATTTGTCAGCCTCTGGTCCCACCTTGAACATGGCATAGTCTGCAGTGCTGTGAAGCAGGGAAGAGAGACATCATGTTCTCAACCTACTCAGTGAGCTCTGAGGATCCCTCTTCCATGGATAGTTGCTTGGAATTTTTCACTTTGCTTCTGAAGGCTGACAGGTGCTCACTGAGTAAAGTTTGCTGTACAACTGGCAAGAGGCAAGGAATGCACAAGCCAGGCTGGATCTCATCAACACTACCCAGAACGGGACTAAATGCTTAGGTTTTTCCCACATGCTATCATAGATCACATTAATTGTCTGACAATGCACCAAACTTGAGGAGATACAACTCCATTAGCTACTGGTACCACCTGAAGGGTGAGATCCTAAAAGGATTGTCTTCTTTCCCTAGGCAAGTGGTAGTGATGAGAAGCAGGGTCTCCTAGAGCACCACAAAACCAAAATGCTCTAGGTGTCGCCAAGCTAACATGAACCACAAGAATGAGGATGAGATTCTCCCTGGGAACAACTCATGAAAGAGGGCCACAATCCTATGGAACGTAGGGAAGAATGGGTCTAGATGATCAGAGATTTCCAGAAAATATTTAGCTTCTTCCTTGATCTCCAGGACTTTGGAAATGAGGAGCACTCTCATAGGAGATTTGCTGCCTATAGTAATTCCTGGATTGAGAAGCAAACAAACAAAAAAAAATCCTTGTGTTTGGAGACAGAAGATGTTTCATCATTCTATACACGTAATGAGAGGGTTGTGTATTTTTTCTGTATTTAATTAGGTTTAGAGTACTCAAAACCTCCCAGATCTCAGAATCTAGATCACCGAAGGAGTTAACTGATTAAATTTAAGGTAGCCTGTAATGTGACAGAAAGAAGGATCATGAAGGCACTGGGAAGTCAGATGTTGGGTTTGCTTCTTAACCCGGAGACTTATTAACAGGGTAGGTTCCAGAGTCAAACTATTTGAGTTCATATCTCACCTCTCCAATCTACCAGCAATGTGACCTTGGGCAAGTCAGTTGGTCAAAGGGAAGTAATAACAATACCCACCTCACTAAATAGCTATTCTGGACTCTATTCACCAACCTCAATTTCCAGTAAGCATTGAAAGATCAGTAATCAACAATAATTATGAATGGTTCTAGGGTATGTAAATTGAACTGAAAACACTCAGATCCAACCTGGAGAGGACCTATCTCTTTAGACTGTCCAAGGACCAAACAGACCCTTACGGGAAACTACTGGATGTGGTCTTTGCATTTTTCACACTGTCTTTGCCTTTGTTCTATTGATAGTTGAAAAATATATGTTCCAGATAATCTCTACCACAATCAATTAGAATCCTTTCTAAACAGTACCTGCTTTTGCCATCCCAGTCTTCCAGTTGAATCCTTAATGCATATGGGATTGCAGACTGTGTGCTTATCAAATGAATCTTCTCATTTCCCAGCCAAAATTCCGTGGTACCAGTAGGAGAAAGATGTCCAAACCCTTCTTTATATTGAATCCAATTTTTCTTGAAGTCCACACTTCCGTCAAGTCTCTATTCACACAAGTGCGTGGGAAAGGAGGGAGAGGCATTTACTGGTGCACATGAAGAACGTGTTATCAACATTTTGTTGAAAATATGGGGGATATGATTCATCAGTTTTTTTTTTTTTTTTTGACAGGCAGAGTGGACAGTGAGAGAGAGAGACAGAGAGAGAAAGGTCTTCCTTTTGCCGTTGGTTCACCCTCCAATGGCCGCCGCTGCAGCCGGCGCACCGCGCTGATCCAATGGCAGGAGCCAGGATCCAGGTGCTTTTCCTGGTCTCCCATGGGGTGCAGGGCCCAAGCACCTGGGCCATCCTCCACTGCACTCCCTGGCCACAGCAGAGAGCTGGCCTGGAAGAGGGGCAACCGGGACAGAATCCGGCGCCCCGACCGGGACTAGAACCCGGTGTGCCGGCGCCGCAAGGTGGAGGATTAGCCTATTGAGCCACGGCGCCGGCCGATTCATCAGTTATTAAGTGATCTTGGGAAAGCTGTCTCAGTTCCTCATCTAGTTTGCTGGTAGGATTACACAGGAGGAGAATATGAGACAGACACTTAATTCATGAGAGTATTAAAAGGTACTTAGAGGACTTCAGAACTCAGGCTTGACATGACTGATTCTTTCACCGATGGAAAGGGCTGTGTTTATCACTACCTCCGTCACTCACTCTGGTTGGGTGCCCCCTGCAGGAGGAGTCGTGACAGTGACAGCAGGTAAAGAGAAAGTGAAGAAGCCAGGATCCTTAGTGGGTGCTAGTGGCTGGCAGAGATAACCAAGGGCCTCTACTCGGAGCAACTCAACTGTGCCCACTGAGGGGGCTTTATGGTCTTGTGATGGACAGCCTTAGGTCCCCATCTACCTGATGAATGAGGTCCTTTCCAGCCGTTTTATTACCACGGCCTTGTGATTATGTGCCTCCATGGATCTATAACAGCAGTGCTAGCCAAGTAGAGCAACACAGGCAGCTCTGAAACCAGATCACCCAGGTTCAGATCCTGACTTCGCTATTACTTGTGTGATCTGGAGCAAGCTGGTTAACCTTATGTACCTCAGTTTCCTCCTCTGTAAATACAGGTAACAACAGTATCTCCCTCCTGGGGTTAGCGTGGGGGTTAAATGAGTTAATGTTCACCAGGTGCTTGGGAAAGTGTCTGGCATACAGCAGGAACAACGGAGCTGCTTATGAAGTACCCAGAATGAGAAAAAAATTTACTTTCTGAAGCACAGTCCATCCGTTTCCATTTGTATCGATTTCACAGTAGACTAAGAACTGCTGCTTAGCTCTGAGAGGTTTGAGAAAGTAAAGTCCGCTCTCTTTGGCTCCCTTATTGGCAATGTCTTGACAATCTGAAGGAGAAGAAGAAACTTTTTATTAAATCCAGGTAAGGCTGTGCCAGCTTTGAAAATAATCTTTTATAATATTGTAAACTATGCATTTCTCAAGAAATATTTCCTTGCTTCTCACACCATCGTTCCTTTGAATTATATTGAGCTACTCAAGAAAAGTCCGAACAATTGGAATCTTTAGCTTTAATGGAATTTAGCAATAATTTTAGGTGTAGGTGTTTGGTGCAGTGGTAAAGTTGCCACTGGAGATGCCTGCATCCCATATTGCGAGCCAGTTTGAGGATGGCTACTCTGTTTCTGCTTCAGCTTCCTGCCAGTGGGTACCTGGGAGGCAGCAGATGTGACTCAAGTACTTCGGGTACATGTGAGAGACCTGGATTGAGTTCTAAGCTCCTGGCTTTGGCCTGGTCCAGCCCTGGCTGTTGTGAGAGTGAACAAGTAGATGGGACATCTCTCTCCATCTCTCTATCTTTCTACTGGTCTCTCTCTATCTCTGTACCTTTCAAATAAAATAAAGAAATATTTAGACAGCAATCATTGAATTTTGGTGCAAAATTTTGAAAGCCATGTAGTTTTTTCTTAATATACAATTCCCATAAAGCTTTTGAAGATTCTCCATCTCTATGGATTTCAACATTGTTTGCTCCAAAATGAACTTTTTAAAGTTCCATTCCTTATAATTTTTCAGAAGTACCTTTGTACAGCTGCCTTTACTTTGTATATTTGCATGGATGAAAATAATCACATTATAAACTTTTCACTTACCTTTCCCAGTTGTATCATGTATTTGTACTGTGTCTTTGCAAGGTTCTTGACACTTTGCTTCAAGCTGGGTTACCTTCTGTTTCAGGTTAATGATCTTTTGATTGTTTGAGTCATATATTTCCTGCAAAAATCTACAAACAGAACAATAAGACACCAGAAGAAAAGTACTCCTTTTGGGGGAGTATGTTTGTATTGTTTCAAAATCCTATCATTTATTTAAGAATTACTGCGTGACAAATTCTATTCTTAGGACAGCTATAAAATTCTGTCATTAAATTGGGGTAAATTAAAAGTCCATGCTTCTTTGTAAACAGAAGTGCACACACACACAAACACACACACAATCAATTACAGCAGAAATATAGTTTTGACTTGCATCTTTCACCTGGAGCAAGCATGTAACCTGGACTCTGAATACAAAGTCCTTGTCAATAAACAAAGGTCCCTGGAAGCGATCCTTTTGGGTTTTTGCTGGTGAGAAGCCCGGCTGATGGGAGCACCCGGGGTAGTTAAGAAGTGGCAAAGGGTCTGTTTAGTAACTTCCATGTGCTTTTAGCTGTGGATCCACTAAAGCTCTGTTTACAGACTTCAATCTGTAACTGACACAGGAAGAGTGTGGGAGGCATGGTCACAGGTAGAACACCAGCCACTTTCCCTCTCTTCCAGTGTTTCTCCTTAATAACTTGGGAAAAGGGCTGGAGGAAGTAAACCCCCTGCTTTTGTGATCTCCCATGGGGTGCTTGTAAATACGCAGAAAGGACAGAAAACTCCAATGCACAGACTACTGTTGTCTTTAACTTGTGAACAATTTAGACAAGTTATTCAGCTACTTTCTGCAAAATACTCTGCTTCAACTGCAATGGTGGGCAATACTAATTAAATGGCAATGAAAATAGCAATCCCAAGAATAGAATAACAATGACTTTCTGATACCAAAGGGAGGAGAGAGCCTCCCTGGATCATTTCTCTGCAGCCACTATTTCTCAGGTTGCTTTGAGAATTATTTGGAAAAAAAAAAAAAAAAGTAGGGAAGAAACTAAAGCTGTGTGTAAGGGCCCATATTCCGAAAGCTCCTGAGTTCCGGGGGGGGGGGGGGGGTGCTGTGAGCAGAGACCATTTACTTCCAAGCGAAGGCAGCAGCCTGTGTAATCGCAGGTTCTCTGTGTCACGATCAATACAAAGCTTTACAATATTAAACGTAGTCTCGGGATTTTTTTTCCCACTTCAGTCTCATGTACTTTAGTAGCCAAGACCCTGCTTAGACTTCTACTTGCTAATTTTCTACCAATTGCTTGTCCTTGTTATAAAGCAAATTTGATTTTTTAACATCCATATTCCCATGAGTTTGATTTTACATTGCAAGACAAATAGGGAGGCATTGAGATAAATACGGTCATAATGGCAAATTTGAAGACATCTAGAACATCTTTTTTCCTGTGTGATTTTTAAAAAGGATATACTCAGTTCAATCTTGCACTAAAGACTCCTGCTTCCATGGTGGTCAAGATAGCCACACATACTGTCATCGGATGTTATGAATGACAACAAAAACACCTGGAAGTGTTCCTCTCACCGGAGCATGGGCTGTTAAATAAACACTAAATCAGTCTTGGAAGGCAAATTAAAACAAACATGCTTACCGGATACTTGACTCGTGTGATAGAATCAGTGCTTCATATTTCATTATTTCTTCCACCATTTTCTTGGATTTCTGAGTAGCACTGTCTATCTTATCTGTAATGTGAGAAGAGAAACATAAAAAGCCACGTAAGCAAACAGAACACTGGAAACACCAGCAAGAAAACTTCACAAATGATCTTCTCGTTCAGAAGACCTTAGGTCCTCACTTGGTACCGATGGTTCAGCAGTATCGTAGCTGACTTTGATTGCTTTGATCAGTTCGTTGGCTTCTGTTGATCTGTTTTCTATTTGACTTAACATGTGTTCCAAAGTCTGTAGATCTTCATGCACAGTGGATTGGAAATTATACATAAAATCTGCAATGCCACAGGTGGTTGGGCAAAAACTACCCTGAAAATAGAACCATCAGATAATTACAACTCTTGACACAAGCTATACTTCAAGTCTATTGATATGGGGTGGGCGTTTGGCATAGTGCTTGAAACACAACTCGGGATGCCCGCCTGCATCCCGTTATCAGAGTGCTTGGTTTGAGATCCAGCTCTGTTTCTGATTCCTGCTTCCTGTCCAGGGAAACAGCAGTGATGTCTCAAGTAGGTGGGTGCCTGCCACCCACGTGGGAGACCCTGATTGAATTCCTGGCTCCTGTCTCCACCGGGCTTAGCCCTAGCAATTGTGGGCATATGGGGAGTGAACCAACAGATGGCAGATCTCTGTCTGTCTCTCTTTCTCCCTTGCCCTTTCAAATAAAGTAATTAATTAAAAGATTAAACAAATTCTATAAATAAAAATAGGTAAAGCCTAGACAAGGAGGAGTTTCCAAAAAGTTTGTGGAAAAATGCTTGCTATGTTTTCATTCCATTTTCTGTGAATGTTGTGAAATCCACTCGCACGTTTAAGAAGTTTAAACTGTCAAGTGCACTTAGAGAACTGTTTCTGTTTCTCCACCCCTCTGCCATTCCGCCCAAGTGAGAAACATGCTGAGTACTTACGAATCTTTGGTCTAAGATGCAGCAGTTCTCTCTGGTAGCCACGTACTAAAGGAGAAAAACACAGAAGTGTCACTGGTTTATCACACATCATCTTATTCTCTCAGCTTTCCACTTGAAACCACCTGTGTGGGGAACAGCACACTTACAGCCAGGCATGTTGAAGAGAGCAGTGAAAGAGTACAGAAATAGAGAATTAAACTCCGCGGGTGCACGGACCAACTCATGATGTCTTGGGTGCCCGGTGCTCCAAGCCCGGCAGTGTCAGCTCTGTGGCCTCCGGGGCTCCGGCTGTCCCTTTATGTGAGCTCAGGCTCTGGCTGGGTGACACGGCGAGTGGCTGGAGCTGATCACGGGGCCTCCTTCCCGGAAGGGTGGGGACATCCTTCCCGTCCCCTTGTCCCTTTGTCTCCTCCTGGCCGTCACCTATGCCCAATCGGCTTCCCAGATTTTGCACACAGGTTTAAGCTCCTCCTTTTTGGGGCCAGCTCACTGTTTTACCTCTGATCTAAAATCTTCTCTAAGGCGGGTGAAGCATTTGCTTGGCCGAGAGGAGGGAGAAGAGCCAGAGGCTGCATTATGCAACTTCTTCCCAAACGAGCTGACAGCAAACACAGAGGTCCCACCTCCCTCCGCACAAGCCCTCCCATCCTTGCGAGGGGCCTGCCACCCTAAACTCAATTACCCAAGGCCTTTCCTAGCTCCTGGTTTGAGGCAGAACCTTGTTTAACCCATGGCTTTGGCACCGGGAGTCAATGCTTTCTCCATGTCTATAATGCAATACTGCTAGGGACCAGTAACACTGGGAGCTACCTTGCTGCCCCTCTCTTGGCCGTTCCCATAGGTTCTCAATTCCCAAGGAGCTTTTCGGCCCTATGCATCTCTTTGTCTGGGAGAACCAAGGCTCCACACCTGACACGCAGGGGAAACAAGCCAGGAGCCCATGTGCTTTCCCCAAGGGGTCATCTGGTTACATCTGAAGAAAGTTTAAGGACAAGAAGGGGGTGTGTGGAAAATCTATGGTCCATGTTCTGACTACTAGGGACACAGCTGCAGGAAAAAGCAACAAAAGAGGGAGGGGAAGGGCCATTGTCTTTGTTCTGCCCCCTAAAGCTTCCCTGCCTACGGAGGAAAATGTCAGTCTTACTATTTCCTATTGATAGCTTACCATGTGTGTTAGGGCTATTACTAATCTCCCTATTCTTGGTTCCCCTGCATTGCCTCCCCGGAAACCAACCTTACTTCAAACTGTGATGAAGTAGGTTAGCGGGAGAAATACCCCTGATTCACAGGAAATGCCGACACTTCAGTGCTTAGTTCTGAGTCTTGACAATGCAATAGTTAGGTTTCTCGACTTGAAAACAAATATAAATGTCTAGGTGCCGTAACGATCAGTCGTCATGATAACAAAGTGACTCTACCAAAAACCGCATCTTGCCTTGTTCTCTTCCTGTTAGCTCCCCTCCCTGATCCTTCAGTCTTTGTCAATGGTGTCGCCACACCACCAGCCAGTTAAAAAGTCTCCCAGCTTTTCTCATGCATCTCATCTGATTAGCTGGGGTGGATGAGACAGCGTCTTGTTAAAAGTGTTTGTACACCGTCGCTTTCGTTTTATGCCTACTTTCCGCTTATACTGCTCCCATCCTGGTAGAGGCCCCAGTTACTTCTCTGGACTGCCTGCTTCCTTTTCCCCACCCAGCAACTTCCCCCTCTGAATCATTTGTGGCTGGGACTGTGACATTCACCCGCTCAAGAGCCTGCGGAGACTCCCTGTCCCCCATCACGGACACCTCCAGTGTCTCCTCCTGCCCTCACTGCTTCTCTCCCTGAGTCTGACTCCTACTAAGAGACTAAGCAAACGCAGTCACAAGACAACGCCTCATTGTGCACCCGCAGGATCCTTGCTCTCAGATTGTGTTTCTTTTTCTACGTAGTTCCCTCTGCTGGATTGGCCAAAATCCACACTTCTGAATCTGTGGCTGTCAATCTTACAACACCTGAAGGGCCTGTCTCATGATTCCTACTGCTTCCAAGATAAAAACCAAAATCCCTGAGGGCAGCTTGACCTCTTCTGTAGCACTGTACGTTAAAGACATACATGCCGTAATAACCTCATTAGATGTAGGCACGGCCACAGCACCTAGCACAGAAATATTTAACACGCAATAATTACTTGATTTAAATTGACTTGGAGTGCAAGCTATTCTTACTTCTGACATCTCTCAGAGCTCCAAAATTGCAAAAATCAGTGACTTTGGCAAGGCTTAAATAAATGATTGAATGGTGAAATGATAGAATATGAAAATGCTTTTAAAAAAAAATGAAGCAGAGGCCGGTGCTGTAGCGTAGTGGGTAAAGCCCCCACCTGTAGTGCCAGGCTCCCATATGGGCGCTGGTTCTAGTCCTGGCTGCTCCAGTTCCGATCCAGCTCTCTGCTATGGCCTGGGAAAGCAGTGGAAGATGGCCCAAGTCCTTAGGCCCCTGTACCCGCATGCAAGACCCAGAGGAAGCTCCAGGCTCCTGGCTTCGGATTGGCACAGCTCTGGCCATTGCTGCCATATGGGGAGTGAACCAGGGGATGGAGAACCTCTCTCTCTCTCTCTGTCTCTCTCTCTCTCTCTCTGCCTCAACATACAATTAAAATATTAGTTATTGATCACTCTGGTGATTTATTTGTTGTGCTAGTAATTATATCTTTTTTTTTTTTTTTTGACAGGCAGAGTGGACAGTGAGAGAGAGAGACAGAGAGAAAGGTCTTCCTTTGCCATTGGTTCACCCTCCAAAGGCTGCCGCGGCCGGCGCGCTGCGGCCAGTGCACTGCGCTGATCCGATGGCAGGAGCCAGGTACTTCTCCTGGTCTCCCATGGGGTGCAGGGCCCAAGTACTTGGGCCGTCCTCCACTGCACTCCCTGGCCACAGCAGAGAGCTGGCCTGGAAGAGGGGCAACCGGGACAGAATCCGGTGCCCTGACTGGGACTAGAACCTGGTGTACCGGTGCCACAGGCGGAGGATTAGCCTAGTGAGCCGCGGCGCCGGCCAGTAATTATATCTTGATTTTTTTTTTTTAATGGAGCATTAGAGATAGATAAGGCATTGCCTTGCCTTTAAGGAGAGAATAGTCCAGTTGTGGAGCATATGCACAGATTAGGAGCTCTGGAATCCACTGGCCTGAGTTTGAATCTTACCTTTACAGCTTACTAGCTGTGTTGCTCAGAAGAAGTGGCTTGACTTCTCTGAGATTCTTTACTTGTGTTAGTAGAGTTGAAATAATAAAGTATTTATAATGTAGTACCTGCTTTTCAAGATGCTTGCCAGCATTAGTGGGGTCATGTGTTGAGCGCGCCTGCTGTCCGATTCACAAAATGGGCTAAGTAATTGCTTATAATGTTTATGAACTACTAAATGTTTTTAGTATAAAATTTGTATACATGAGAATTTTGCTTGACGGAGTTGTAAGAGATACCGTTGTTAGTGGATTTGGTTCATAGGGAATAAGCTTGTTCCAGTTACAGAAAGTTCTAACAAACTATTCAATGGAGCAGGTGTTACGATACAGTGGGTAAAGCCAACGCTTGGGATGGCCACATCTTTTTATTTTATTTATTTATTTATTTTGACAGGCAGAGTGGACAGTAAGAGAGAGAGACAGAGAGAAAGGTCTTCCTTTGCCATTGGTTCACCCTCTAATGGCCGCTGCGGCCGGCACGCTGCGGCCGGCGCACCGCGCTGATCCGATGGCAGGAGCCAGGTACTTCTGGTCTCCCATGGGGTGCAGGGCCCAAGCACTTGGGCCATCCTCCACTGCACTCCCTGGCCACAGCAGAGAGCTGGCCTGGAAAAGGGGCAACCAGGACAGAATCCGGCGCCCCGACCGGGACTAGAACCCGGTGTGCCGGCGCCACAAGGCAGAGGATTAGCCTAGTGAGCCGCGGCGCCAGCCAGGATGGCCGCATCTTAATCAGAGTGTCTGGCTGAAATTCCAGGTACTCTGAGCTTCCTGTTTAGCTTCCTGCTAATGTTACTAGGAGGCAGTGTGTGATGATCCAACACTTGGGTTCCAGCCACACCTTTGAAAGACTTACGTTGGCCGGCGCTGTGGCTCACTAGGCTAATCCTCTGCCTGCAGCATCGGCACACTGGGTTCTAGTCCTGGTTGGGGCGCTGGATTCTGTTCCGGTTGCCCCTCTTCCAGGCCAGCTCTCTGCTGTGGCCCGGGAGTGCAGTGGAGGATGGCCCCAGTCCTTGGGCCCTGCACCCGCATGGAAGACCAGGAGGAAGCACCTGGCTCCTGGCTTCGGATCGGCACAGCGCTGGCTGTAGTGGCCATTTGGGGGTAAACCAACAGAAGGAAGACCTTTCTGTCTATTTCTCTCTCTTACTGTCTAATTCTGCCTGTCAAAAAAAAAAAAAAGAAAAGAAAAGAAAAAGAAAGAAAGAAAGACTTAGGTGGAGTTCCTGGCTCCTCGCTTCAGCCTGGCCTAGCCCCTAATTTAGGTGGGAACTCTACCAATATTAATTTTGCTGATAGAAGATCTAGTGGTAATAGAACTAGACCACATGCCTTGCAGGAGGGTGTACTTCTTATTAGTAAAAGTATCCATGCCAAATGTCATCAGTGTATGCAGTCAGTGTGACTTCCCGATTGAAGAACATAAAATACTGACTTTTTGAATTTAGGTAACAGTCCATGCAGCCACAGGGTAGTTTGCATTAGCTGGCATATCATATACACACGCCCAGCTTATCCTATGTTAGATGTGGCATATTTTTTTTGACAGGCAGAGTTAGACTGTGAGAGAGAGAGACAGAGAGAAAGGTCTTCCTTCCGTTGGTTCACCCTCAAAATGGCCGTCATGCCAGCATGCTGCGCAGATTGGAAGCCAGGAGCCAGGTGCTTCCTCCTGGTCTCCCATGCAGGTGCAGGGCCCAAGGACCTGGGCCATCCTCCACTGCCTTCCTGGGCCACAGCAGAGAGCTGGACTGGAAGAGGAGCACCAGGACAGAATCCGGCGCCCCGACCGGGACTAGAACCCGAGGTGCTGGTGCCACAGGTGGAGGATTAGCCTTCTGAGCTGCGGAGCTGGCCATGATGTCGTATACTTTTATACCCGCATTTTTACTGACTTGGAGCTGAGATGTGTTATCACAATTTTAGAAACAAGATTCCCTTTTTAACCACAGTTTCGGGTCCCAAATCAGAATCACATTGGACAAGATACTTGCCGAGAAGAAATGGTCCACCATGATTAACGCCCTACGCCAGCCTGGTACTCTGTCTACTAGTCACTTAGTTTATTACATTTTAGCCAGCTGTTC